ATGGGACCTATATATATATATATATTTATATATATATATATATATATATATATATATATATATATATATATATATATATATATATATATATATATATATATATATATATATATATATATGTGTGTGTATATCACGAAAATAAACACGTGATTAAGAATGTGACAATGTCAGACCACGGAGGAAAAATGAAACAGGAAATTTCCTTAAGTACTTTCGTATATTAAATACATCTTCAGAAGGTCATTTTACAGATCGAGTGATGGGTATAAATAGGCAGGAGAGAGTGGTGAAGTACTCTCTTCACCACTCTCTCCTGCCTATTTATACCCATCACTCGATCTGTAAAATGACCTTCTGAAGATGTATTTAATATACGAAAGTACTTAAGGAAATTTCCTGTTTCATTTTTCCTCCGTGGTCTGACATTGTCATATATATATATATATATATATATATATATATATATATATATATATATATATATATATATATATATATATATATATATATATATATATATATATATATATATATATATATATTTATATATCGCATACCGTTTCGGGCAAGTCCTTAATCCTAATTTTCACAAACACATCCCAAGGAAGCAGCCTGTAGCAGCTGTTTAATTCCCAGGTACTTATTAACTGCTAGGTGACAAGGAGCATCAGGGTGAAAGAAACTCTGCCTATTTGTTTCTGTCTCCTCCGGGGATCAAACCTGGACCCTTAGGACTACGAACCCAAGCGCTGCCTGCTCAGCCGTCAGGCCCCCAAACATATGAACATATATAAACAATAAACGAAACCTCTCACGATATACAGTACATTCTTGTTTCAACGACTTGGCTAGGTTTCCTCATGTGTCTGCATGTTCAGTTGTTTCGGTTACTAGCATCTTCCGTTGCTGATCTTTCACACTATTTTGTCACCCTATATTGCATTTGTGGGATGACTTCATGTAATTAGTTGCAGTCAAATTTTCAGCTGCATGTAGTGTATTGCCTGTATAATAGATAGCGATCTCTTCCGATATCTTTCCTCAGTTTACACACATTAACACATGTACGGGTAAACATGATGTCAGTGTTAAAACTCAAGAAAAAAAAATTAAGAAATATTTTATTCAGTTCCCATTTTTATACGTATACTAGCTGTACCCGGCCACGCATTGCTGTGGCTCAGCAATGCGTGTGCGTTGCTGAGCCACAGCAACCTTCCTTTATCTCCCAGTCCTCCCCACCATTCTCCATGTCCCGTCCCCCTCATCCTCCCAACCATTCCTCCCTCACCCGTCCCCTCTTCCTCCTAACAATTCCTCACTTCCCCGTCCCTTTGTCCTCCCAACATTCCCCACTCCAGCATCCGCTCATCTTTCTAATCATTCCCCTCTCCATCGTCCCCTCCTCCCCCCTACAATCTCCCACTCCCCATCCCGTCACCCACCCTACCATTCCCCCTTCCCCTGTCCCCTCGTCCATTCCTCCAACTCCCACTCCTCTGTCCCCTTTTCCTCTGCACCATTCTCCATTCCCCTATCCCCTCGTCCCCACCATCCTCAACTGCCCCGTCCTCCCCACTATTACCCCCTTCCCTGTCCCCTCGTCCTCCCCAAAATCCCCCACTCCCGTCCCCCTTGTCCTCCCCAACATTTCCCACTCCCTCGTTCGATGCATTCCCAAGCGATCTGATGATTCCATCAGAAAATTAAGAACATCAAATGATCTGATGTTCCCATCACTGAAATATAAGAAAAACATAAAAAAAAATGAAATGAAAAACAATGAAAAAATACAAAAATAAACTATACTCAGGAAATGAACGGTATGGTAAACAACACAGCTGAATTTCAACGCAATGTCCCACAAAATAAATTAAATCAAAATGAAAATATATTGAAGTTTATGAAAATTAAATTTATCAATGCAATTGGAAACATTGAAATGGAATCGTAACATATTTAGTATAGCGTGAGTTGCTATTACGTGCAACAGATGATGCTGTTTTTCAAAAAAGCATGTTTTTACATGTGACAGGTGTGGCATCTATATAGTCGGTATATAAAAACACGTGTGTATTCGAATGGAACGTTGTATCAAAATTTCAAAGCAATCGGTAAAGAGGTTTCAAAGATTTCCCTCCCATGAAAAACACATGAAAAAATACAGTTAAAAAAAACATGTTTTTTTCCATCACAGACGTGAAATCTATATAATATGTATATATAAACCTGCTCGGATGTGAATGGAACGTTGTGTGAAAATTTCAAAGCAATCGGTGAAGAACTTCCTGAAATTAGCGATTTTGAACAAACGAACATTTACATGTTTATTTATAAAGATATATATATATGCTAGCAGTAGGCTGCCACGTGTTGGCAGGGTACTGCTAGTATAAATTCCTGTCCCCTGGAACCATCCCTGTCCCCCAGTCCCCCCCACAACAATTTCCCCCTCACCCGTCTCCTCGGCCTCCCAACCATTCCCCACTCCACCGTCCCTTTGTCCTCCCCACCATTCTTCATTCCTCGATCCCTTCGTCCCCACCATCCCAAACTCCCCCGTCCCCTCGTCCTTCTCCACCATTACCCCCTCCCTTGTCCCCTCGTCCTCCCCACCAACTCTCACTTCCGTTCCCTCATCATCCCCACCATTCCCCACTCCCTCGTCCGATGCCTTCCCAAATGGTCTGATGTTCCCATCAGAAAATTAGAAGCATCAAGTGATCTGATGTACCCATTGTTGAAATATAAGAAAAACAGTTAAAAAATGAAATGAAAATATGAAAAAATAAAAAAATAAACTATACTCACGATATGAACAGCATGGTAAACAACACAGCTCAGTTCCAACACAATGTCACACAAAATAATTAAATCAAAATGAAAATAAATCAAAATCAATGAAAATTCAATTTATCAATGCAATCAGAAACATTGAAGTGGAATTGTAATTATTTAGAATAGCACGTGTGTTCCTCTTACATGCGCTGTTGGCGCTGTTTTTCAAGAAATGCATAGTTTTACCTGTAACAGGTGTGGCATCTATACTTGTACTTAGGAAATGAACGGTATGGTAAACAACACAGCTCAATTCCAACACAATGTCACACAAAATAATTCAATAAAAAATAAAATAAATCGAAATCTATGAAAATAAAATTTATCAATGCAATCGGAAACATTCAAATGGAATTCGTGACATATATAGTATAGCGTGCATGTTGCTATTATGTGCAACAGATGGCGCTGCTTTTCAAAAACGCATGTTTTTCCCTGTCACAGAGGTGGCATCTATATAGTTGGTATGTAAATAGACGCGCCTATTCGAATGGAACGTTGTGTCAGAATTTCAAAGCCATCGGTGATGAACTTTAGCAGATTACAGCGTGTGTTGCTCTTACAACCAACAGATGGCGATGTTTTTCAAAAAAAGCATGCTTTCTCTGTTCACAGGTAAGGCATGTATATAGTAGATATATAGAAATACGCGCCTATTCGAATGCAACGTCGTGTCAAAATTTCAAAGCAATCGGTAAAGAGGTTTCGAAGATTTCTCTCACATGAAAAACACAGTTTTACAAAAAAATGTTTTTTTTTCCTTCATAGACGTGACATCAATATAATATGTATATAAAAACCTGCTCGGATGCGAATGGAACATTGTGTGAAAATTTCAAAGCAATCGGTGAAGAACTTTCTGAGATTAGCGATTTTGAACAAACGAACATATCCATTTTTATTTATATAGATTTTGCCATGTTATGTACACTAACAAGATTTTATACATATTAGAACAAAGTTGATAACTTTAACAATATGTCAGTGCAACAGTTAGTATCGAAATTTAATTTTTATATTGGAATCCTTAATATCACTTCGTAATATTAAAATACAATATTTATGTTCAATATTCCATAAATTCATTAGAGTCGCCTTCTCTACTTTAGTGTGCCAGACTCTCTTGTTATTTCCGTTTTCTTTTATAAAACTCATTTTTAGTTTTGTTCACCAGCCATATAGTTATATTGTTGAATTGCTCACCAGCCATATTGCTGTATTACTCAATAGCCATATAGTTGTATTGCCCACCAGCCATATAGTTGTATTGCCCACCAGTCATATAGTTGTATTGCCCACCAGTCATATAGTTGTATTGCCCACCAGCCATATAGTTGTATTGCCCACCAGCCATATAGTTGTATTGCCCACCAGTCATATAGTTGTATTGCCCACCAGCCATATAGTTGTATTGCCCACCAGCCATATAGTTGTATTGCCCACCAGTCATATAGTTGTATTGCCCACCAGCCATATAGTTGTATTGCCCACCAGCCATATAGTTGTATTGCCCACCAGCCATATAGTTGTATTGCCCACCAGCCATATAGTTGTATTGCCCACCAGTCATATAGTTGTATTGCCCACCAGCCATATAGTTGTATTGCCCACCAGCCATATAGTTGTATTGCCCACCAGCCATATAGTTGTATTACTCACTAGCCATATAGTTATATTGTTGTAGTGATCCCCAGTCATATATTTGCATTGTTGTAGTGCTCCTCAGTAACATAGTTGATTCTTGTATTGCTCCTCAGTAACATAGTTGATTCTTGTATTGCTCCTCAGCCATACAATTCATTGTTCCATTGTTCCTCAGCTATATAGTTGATTGTGTTGCTCCTCAGCCATATAGTCAAATGTTCCTCGTTCATATATAGTTTAATAACGGGACTGTGTCCCAGCTACGTAAAGTTGTATTATTATATATGTCTCATTGTCAATATGGCTTATATTGTGTTGGCATCTGGCATCTTTCCCAACCGTACGTATAGTGAAACCTTCTTTAGTATGAAAAAATACTGTATTCCATATTTGTATTTGTTAAAACTAAATGTTTACCATTTATTGTTTCTATGAAGTTTTGGAATATATACAAGACCGCAGGACTTGAACTCTGAGTGTGTTCAATACTCAAATGAATACTGTATCTTCTTTTCCAGAAAAAGTTAGCAGACGTGTTTCGAGTGGGAGCTGGTGGCGGCCTGTGTTTTTGCGGCATCAATATGTACTTCAAAAACGATAAGTTTTATGATGACTGGGTGATGCCCATCTTCAACCGCATGGAACCCGAGACAGCCTATGCTGTGGCACAACAGGCAGCTAAATATAAACTCGTTACAAAGGAAAAGCTGCAGGAGTCAAGACTTTTGGTGAGTACTCAGCCGTCATCTAAAGACAAAATGGATCATGAGGACTTAGCTCAAGAAGAGGATGAGTCTTGTAAAGCTTTTGACTGCATTGGAGATGAGTTCAGGGGTTCCACTGACGACCTGATTGGCCCTCAGTATGAGAAAGATCTAACTCAAACCTTGGAGCCTGTGTGTCAGTCAAGGGTTTATGATTCAGAATTTGAGCCTGATGAAACGTGTTCCGGGTTTTATGGTGACGATGCCAGTGAGAATTGTCAACACCAGCTGGGCAGTAATATTAGGGAACCGTGTGGCGACTGTCATCAGGCTCTTCAATGTATAGGTGATGAGTCCAAAGTATGCAGTATCAAGAAGACTTTTGTTGGAGATATGAGCCACTACAGGAGCGACCTAAGGGCGTGTGCCTGTAATTCTCCAAAAAATGAACGGAACTGCGTAACACCTGACTCTCCCTCCCTGAGCATGAGAGTTAACATAGCCTCACCACTGAGGAGTAGCAAGATGTCCCTAGCCACTATGGTGGACGGTAGCAACCCCGCTTATGATCAAGGTAATGCTGACGAAGCTGTAGATCTAATTGACAAAGTAAATTTGGAAAGCAATTGTGAATTAGAGGACTGCATAGCATCCCATGTACATGATGGCTGCAGGACTAATATAGTTTCTATTGTAGATGGTTTAGGTGAAGTGTACAAGTCTGACAGTAGGGACAAATTGACCTTCTCAACAACATCTGACCAGCATAATGGTAAAGACTCTCCTGATTTGGTTTAAATTATAATAGCGCATTAATATAAGCAAACACAAGCATGAATATATCGTATTCCCCTCAATGCAGATTTGTCCCTTTTTATATATGAACTTCAATTACACAGCATGGGCACACTAATATCTTACAAAATGTAAGATTATCGGTATTTAACTTTCTTACGAAATCTAGCACGAAAACAATACGATGCTTATTTTTATACATACCATAATCCTGAAAGTGTCAACTATAAAGATTACATGACAAAAGGAATCATTATGGCGCATTCACTTGATAATTTAACTTTAACAGTGATTGCAAAGTCATATGCAGGCAAATATTGTTAATTTTTTCTATTTATTAATTTTAAGTTTTGAATGTAGAAGCTTTCATTTTTGAATGCATTATTAATTCATGCATTAGCAAATCTGTCTATTGAACTGAGATAATTTACATTTATTTGCCTATTTTAACTATTCTTTATTTTATTTTAGTTTTGGTTGGCAGAGTGCACCAGCGCGTACATGCTTTATGACGCACTAATAACGATGTTAAGAACTACAGCCGCTAGTCCACTTTCTTATGAGAGAAACTGCTGCGGACTTTGGATATTTTTATGATCGTAGTTTCAGTGAAAATTCTAAAAGTGTCGAGTTAATAATGGATATTATACACTACCTTAGTTTAGCGTTAACGTTAATTCCTGATGGATATTTTGCCTGTTTATTTGAGCTTTGCTTTGTGTCTTAGTTTTTATTTATATATTTATTTATATACAAGAAGGTACATTGGGTTGTGAGAGTACATAACATTGGTGTTCTTACATTCTTGTAAAGTCCCTAACACGCATAGCATGTCAGGCAGGTCCTTAATCAAGCATATAAAAGTAAGACTATTAATAGGCACATTGTAGCAGAATTTGATTTCAACATAATTATTACAATATAAATTTATAGTATTGATTATACTGGTGAAGTTGCATGTCTTAAGTACTAAAATTGGGTGAGTGGGTAGCACAAGGTACAGTGTGAATTTGAAACACAAGGTAGGAAACTATGAGGATATAATTAGGTACATTTTAGTTTTACTTTTGAAAAAGGCATAGGTTGGGCAATTTTTAATTCATTAGGGAGTGAGTTTCATAGACTGGATCGTTTTATTTGCATTGAGTGTTTGCAAAGATTTAGTCTGACTCTGGGGATATCAAAGGGATATTTATTTCTGGTGTGGTGCTCGTTGGTTCTATTACATCTATCAAGGAAGCGTTTCAAATCAGAGGATTAACATTTAAGAAAAAGGTTTTGTACATGTAAATAGCACAAGAGAATGTGTGGAGTGAGTGTATGTTCAGCATATTTAGGGATTTAAACATGGTCTGTATGTTGTCTGAAGACAGTCTGTTATAGTTCTGATAAAATATTTTTGTTGGGTGATGATAGGCTTGAGGTAATTTGCAGTGGTTGAACACCATGCACAGATAGCGTATGTAAGGTGGGGGATACATTAGCGAATAATGTAGTGAAAGAGCAGAGTGGGGAAAATAATATCTGATTTTAGAGAGTATACTGACACTTTCTGAGACGTTTTTGGTATGTGTTGTATGTGGGTGCTGAAGTTTAGTCCGCTATGTATAGGCCAAAAAAACTTTTGCATCGATTTTATTGCTAATGTTAGCATTGTTTATCTAAAGGTGAATTTGCCTTCATAATTTACTTTCAAATAAAATGTAGTAGGTTTTTACTGTACTTAGTATGAGTTTGTTGGGTGACATCCGTGAGTGTACCTTTTTAAATCTTTATTTACAATAATATTTAGTGTATGTGGGTTTGGGTATGGATAGATGAAGGTAATATCGTCAGCAAATAGCATAGGATTAAGAATGTTAGGGACATTTGGCAAATCATTCATGTATATAAGAAATAGGAGAGGTCCTAAGATGCTGCCTTGTGGAACTCCTATGGTTAATGGTAGAGTGGGGGAGGTCATGCCATTGATGACTATATATTGGTGTCTGTCATTAAGATAAGATCGAATATAGTTCAGAGCAAGGCCTCGGTTTCCATAGTGGTAAAGTTTAAGTAAGAGGTAGTTATGGTCTGCAGTATCAAAGACCTTTCTCAGGTCAATAAGAAGCCAATTGGGAACTCATTTTTGTCAAAGGCTGTATAGAATATATTAAGCAGACTAATAATTTGCACCATTGGTACTCTTTTGGGAATAAACAGTTATATATAACATTATCAGGAGATTTTAGTTTTTTATAGTTTACTTTATTTATTATTTTTTATGGTATGATGAATCTATGATGAATTCATTATTTAGCCTTTTTTTACGCACATTACAGAATGTAATTTTAATTTTTTTAAAGTGGAATTTAGTTGCACATAATTTTATTTCTATAATTTACCTACACATAAATTTTAGTTTGATTGATTGAAAAAAAAGGAAACAGTGTGTTTAAGTCTTATATTAACACTTAAACTTTCGGGTAAATTTCCAAAACAAGCCGTTAACGATTATAGAGTAATAAAATTAAACAGAAAATCTCATGCCATTACAAGAGGAAACATGGACATATACAGAGAGAAGTATTCCCTACTTCCTGGTGTATACCCGTCGAGAGTTTAAGTCCTGAAGTATATTGACGCCTAAAGAATACTTGATGGTTGGTCAGTATACTATTGTGGTGGCCTTAATAACCCTCCAGAGGGTGATAGGCTTAAGCTAAACGCCAAACTTAATGAATATTCTGGAATTTTGATTAGTGAGATTATTGTAAGAGTAACGTTCAGACAATAATTTTCTTAGTGAGAATATCTGCTGATGTGAACTTTACCATTTTAACAGGCAGTTAAAGAAAAAATTGCATGCCTTGATAAGTGAAATGCTTTATACAGTGCTAGTACTGACTGACCTTAGAACTCGATTTCTAATATAATACATATGTGGATCTTGAACTCTATTAAGAAAAATATCATTATCGTATATAGGATAAAAACCCACACGTGTATTTGTGAAATTTATGTAAAGAAATTACATAAAGTCTTTTACACTCTCCTGAGTACTGTCAGGTCTGAGTATGTGGTCAGGACGAGACTTACTTCTCAATGTCTAGACGAGGACAAAGCACTCAGGAGAGTGCGAAAGACTTGGTGTAATTTCTTTACATAAATTTAACAAATACACAAGCGTGGGTTTTAATCCTATGTTATTATGTCTGTGAGAACACATTACCATTACTTATTATCATATAAGTTATATACGGCATGTCATCATTTTCTTTTTATTATTATTTGAATGAACCTGCAAGAAGCATTCAAATTCCGACTTTACATTAAGGAAAATGTTCATTAAATGAGTGTCTGGCGAGATAATCAATGACTCAGATCTAGTGGTGTGGCCGATGGCTTTTAATATGTTAAATGCAAATGAAATGGCAGCTAACTATTTTGTAATGCCTTGTTGGTGAAAGGCAAAATATGTTAATAGCAGATTTGCCTTAGTGCGTTTTTTCAGCGAGCATGTATTCTTGATGTGGATATCACATTCAATTTTATTAATTTCGCTGTGTAAGGAGTACAAAGTATTAACTTAGTTTGTATTCGTTTTCATTTTAGAATAATAACGATAACGTGGTATATATATATATATATATATATATATATATATATATATATATATATATATATATATATATATATATATATATATATATGGTGTATACTGGCAGCAGGTTTTCTTTCAAACATGTTTCATTGAATATGACCGCATATTCTGTATTTATTATTTTCTGGTTTAGGGCTTCTATCCCTCTAACTATTTTCTTAGCATCAGGGCTTAATTGGAATAGGAGTTCTCCAAAACTCATTTTCGTACTTTTAAGGTGAAGAAAAGAAGTGATTTACTATAGAGTGTATTACACTTATTTGTATAATTTGCACGACGTTTTGAACCTCCATGGTTCATTCTCAAGTGAACAGATCTTACAATACTAGTTGATTTTATACCCGCATTAGGTCAGGTGATAATACAATGAAGGTGAAAAACATGGGGGGATACATAAGGGATAAACATAGGGGCTGCAGAAGGCGTATTGGCCCATACGAGGCATCTCCTATCTAAACACAAATATTAATCCAGTGTAATTGGCCTGTTATGTTGGACATTGTCTTCTGTGTTGGCATCGATATGTTCTTGTCTTGTCCTTACTCTCATGGTGGGTAGAGTAAATAGTTCCGTGATTTGGGTGTTCATGGTAGGTCGCTCTATTCTTATGTGAATTGCCTCAAGAATTTGTAATCTTCTTGAATCTTGGGTTTTGTCTATTATGCAAGTATTCTTGTTCAACATTTCTCTTGTTAGAGTAATGTCATGGGCTTGTCTCATGTGATTCCTAGGGGCACCAGATTGAAGATGGCATGTCAAACGCCTCGTCAGCTTGGTCGACGTCATACCTATGTACTTACATTGAAGGTTACATAAACGCTGCTATAAGAAGACACTTGGACCGTTGGTATAATTCAGAACCTAGAACAGAAACCACAACACCCCCAATAAAATATTACAAATCAACCATGCACAGTGAACATATAAAAGAGGAAAGAATAATGAAAGAAATAATCCGTAAAGGAGTAAAAAGCACTACTCCTAACCAAAACATAAACCTGATAATATACTACAAAACCAAGAAGACTTCCGAACTCCTTATCAAAAACAGCCCGAAGCCGACGGAGAACCCTCTACAGCAGTCAAGCGTTGTATACATGTACACTTGCCCCCACGAAGGATGTAACCTTCAATGTAAGTACATAGGTATGACGTCGACCAAGCTGACGAGGCGTTTGACATGCCATCTTCAATCTGGTGCCCCTAGGAATCACATGAGACAAGCCCATGACATTACTCTAACAAGAGAAATGTTGAACAAGAATACTTGCATAATAGACAAAACCCAAGATTCAAGAAGATTACAAATTCTTGAGGCAATTCACATAAGAATAGAGCGACCTACCATGAACACCCAAATCACGGAACTATTTACTCTACCCACCATGAGAGTAAGGACAAGACAAGAACATATCGATGCCAACACAGAAGACAATGTCCAACATAACAGGCCAATTACACTGGATTAATATTTGTGTTTAGATAGGAGATGCCTCGTATGGGCCAATACGCCTTCTGCAGCCCCTATGTTTATCCCTTATGTATCCCCCCATGTTTTTCACCTTCATTGTATTATCACCTGACCTAATGCGGGTATAAAATCAACTAGTATTGTAAGATCTGTTCACTTGAGAATGAACCATGGAGGTTCGAAACGTCGTGCAAATTATACAAATAAGTGTAATACACTCTATAGTAAATCACTTCTTTTCTTCACCTTAAAAGTACGAAAATGAGTTTTGGAGAACTCCTATTCCAATTAAGCCCTGATGCTAAGAAAATAGTTAGAGGGATAGAAGCCCTAAACCAGAAAATAATAAATACAGAATATGCGGTCATATTCAATGAAACATATATATATATATATATATATATATATATATATATATATATATATATATATATATATATATATATATAAATAGGAAGGGAGTACCACCTCTAGCTGGAAGAAGGGGGACCCATAGCCTCGGAGGAAACCACGCATAACGCATTAGAGGGAATGTTTAGATCCCCTCCAATACAGTTTCTGTGTGCTTTTCTCCTACCACCCCCTTCCTTGAATATTTTTTGTGCTTTATTATGCATTTGATGGTTACAAGATATACATGGGTTGATACAAAAATAATAATGCAAAAAGGTGCTTAAAGGTTATGGATCTCTTGAAAAACACAACAATGGGAAACATTGATGAATGTCACAGACGGGTTCGATCATTGTTGCAAGTCAAACACTTCTTCGAATTCCTCTGAAGTTGGACTAGTGCCCAAGACGCAACAGGCATTTCCCCTCTGAATCGCAACACTGAGGCGCTGGAACAAGAAACTTTTTGCTCTCTGGTCTTTTGTAGCGCTGATCAATTTGTCCCCCAATTCCTTCAGGAACTTCAATGCACATTTTCCCCACGAACCGAGGGTCTCCGAGTCGATCGGAACAAAGCTGTAGCAGTGTGCTAGACCTGTATTTAATAATTTTCTGCGATTCCCTGAAAGAAGCAGCACCACCGCTTTCACGTGTGCTGTAGTGGAGGTAGGTACTGGCCAGTGTGGCAGCGCACGTGTAGTCCCATACCACTTGCTTACCATCCTTCCAAGGTAGCAAGGTGACCCCAACCTTGCAACAACCAAATATATATATATATATATATATATATATATATATATATATATATATAATTTTATTGGGGGTGTTGTGGTTTCTGTTCTAGGTTCTGAATTATACCAACGGTCCAAGTGTCTTCTTATAGCAGCGTTTATTTCCGCGTTGCTATATCCGTTGTTCACCACATGGCTTAGGATATGCCTACGGCAATGTTAAGACGCATAAACCAGGTAACCCACTACGCCCTATAATCAGCCAAATACCAACCCCAACTTATCACCTGGCAAAGAAACTCAATGAACTCCTAACTCCATACACTCCTAGTAAGTTTAGTCTACAATCATCAGCAGATTTCCTAGAATTGATCAAATCTACCCAGCCCGATGGAATCATCGCTTCCCTGGACGTTGAATCCCTTTTTACCAACGTCCCAGTCGACACAACCATAGGAATGATACTGGACAGAGTATACAGAGACGAGAGCACCCCCAAATTAGACATACCTGAGCCACACTTGAAAAGTCTTCTCGAAGCATGTACAAAGGAAGCCCCTTTCATCAGTCCACAAGGAGACATGTATTTACAAATAGACGGAGTAGCAATGGGCTCCCCCTTAGGAGTTTTATTTGCTAATTTTTATATGGGAACCATCGAAGATAGGGTCTTCAGTAGCAGACAAAAACCAACTGTATACTGCCGTTATGTAGACGACATATTCGTAATAGTAAAAGACTCAGATGAACTAATTGACCTAAAAAGACACCTAGAGAGAGAGTCAGTACTCCGATTTACACATGAAAATAGTGAAAATAACAGTCTGCCATTCTTGGATGTACTAATAACAAAAACAGGAACCTCTTTAAGCACCAACGTATATACCAAGCCCACCAACATAGGATTATGCCTGAACGGTAGAAGTGAGTGCCCCCAAAGATACAAAGCCAGTGTTCTCAATGCTTATATTCGTCGAGCGCTTACCCACTGCTCTGAATGGAGCAACGTGAGTAGAGAGTTTGAAAGAGTAACTCAGGTATTGGTGAACAACGGATATAGCAACGCGGAAATAAACGCTGCTATAAGAAGACACTTGGACCGTTGGTATAATTCAGAACCTAGAACAGAAACCACAACACCCCCAATAAAATTATATTACAAATCAACCATGCACAGTGAACATATAAAAGAGGAAAGAATAATGAAAGAAATAATCCGTAAAGGAGTAAAAAGCACTACTCCTAACCAAAACATAAACCTGATAATATACTACAAAACCAAGAAGACTTCCGAACTCCTTATCAAAAACAGCCCGAAGCCGACGGAGAACCCTCTACAGCAGTCAAGCGTTGTATACATGTACACTTGCCCCCACGAAGGATGTAACCTTCAATGTAAGTACATAGGTATGACGTCGACCAAGCTGACGAGGCGTTTGACATGCCATCTTCAATCTGGTGCCCCTAGGAATCACATGAGACAAGCCCATGACATTACTCTAACAAGAGAAATGTTGAACAAGAATACTTGCATAATAGACAAAACCCAAGATTCAAGAAGATTACAAATTCTTGAGGCAATTCACATAAGAATAGAGCGACCTACCATGAACACCCAAATCACGGAACTATTTACTCTACCCACCATGAGAGTAAGGACAAGACAAGAACATATCGATGCCAACACAGAAGACAATGTCCAACATAACAGGCCAATTACACTGGATTAATATTTGTGTTTAGATAGGAGATGCCTCGTATGGGCCAATACGCCTTCTGCAGCCCCTATGTTTATCCCTTATGTATCCCCCCATGTTTTTCACCTTCATTGTATTATCACCTGACCTAATGCGGGTATAAAATCAACTAGTATTGTAAGATCTGTTCACTTGAGAATGAACCATGGAGGTTCGAAACGTCGTGCAAATTATACAAATAAGTGTAATACACTCTATAGTAAATCACTTCTTTTCTTCACCTTAAAAGTACGAAAATGAGTTTTGGAGAACTCCTATTCCAATTAAGCCCTGATGCTAAGAAAATAGTTAGAGGGATAGAAGCCCTAAACCAGAAAATAATAAATACAGAATATGCGGTCATATTCAATGAAACATATATATATATATATATATATATATATATATATATATATATATATATATATATATATATATATATATAT